AAAAAAATTCTTCAAGTTCCATAACTTGAGGACAAGTTATGGAAGACTTTAAACTAATAAAAGAATGTAACTTTTCTTTATTTTGTAATTTATGGAATTAATTAAGGTTACACATTTTATTACTTAATGAAGTGACTCTTGAACCTCCATAACTTGAGGACAAGACTCTTCATTTTTGTAACCATTACCAACTTTTATGAGTTTTATGAAACTTAAATGTGACTTTTCATATAACTTGAGGACAAGTTACAAAAACACATTTTAGAATCAACTCTTAGATTAAAATGGATTGAAAACACATAATCAATTAACTTTTCTATTAATCTAAGCAACTCATAAGAACAAGATAATTAGTCAAACTTTTTCATGTAATTAGCCTAATCACTAAACTAATACAAAACATGAATCTATTGACAATTATCTTTGAAATTGGATTAGTATGAACATTACCACATCAAAAACAGGATTATAGGTTCAAAAACAGCTTATGGTAATGTTCCTAGTCCATTTCTAGCCAAAAAACTTAAAGATATGCTGTCAGGGGCTCCTACTCGTCGAGTGTATCAACCTACTCGCCGAGTAGGATGATTTTCTTCATGGACTCGGCGAGTTCATCAGTGGACTCGGTGAGTCCAGTGCCCAGAATGCCCGAAATTCGACTTTTTCAGCATTTTTCAGCAATTTGCATCAAGTATAATTGAAAACAAGCCTAGGCTCTGATACCACTGATGGGTTTTGAGCATTCTAACACTCCTAAGTGTACATGCAACTCTAAATACCTTGGATCTATGTTTTCTCTATTATACATGCAAATATGATTATCCAAGGTATTATCCTAACTAGCATACCAAAACATTGATACTAGGATAATAAAATAGATAGAATACATACCTTGTTGTTGTTGCTTGACTCCATGAAGCTTGAGAGCCTAGTGCCCCAAGTGTGACACCTCAAATGGTTCACACAACATCATGAACTCTTGGAATAACCATGAGAAGAAGACATACATGTTCAAATCGGCTAGCCCTCAAAATATGTATCACTAGTGCCAATTTCTTGAACTAAAGGGGTTCTTATATAGTGTGGCTATTAGGGTTACACCATGTAACTCATGACTTTACCCATTCCTTATGCTCCATGGGTTTTAACCTCCATGGAGTATCCATGGATCACCACATGGGTTAAACCCAACATAAAGGAATCTTGGATCATAAGCCCATATATATAAGAATGAATGATTTACACAATCAATCCCCATATATTTAATTAGTCTCTTTTTGATCACTAAATTAAGTCCAAATTAATTCTTGATCAATACTAATTAAATAACATGATTTCATATTAATATATTAGAACTTATAATATATTAATATGTCACAAAATGTCTTTTCCTCATAAACGGTCTATCCAAATGTTCCGATGTCATGCAACCCAAATGGACCATGCCGAGTCGGGTCAAGTACATACCAATTATAGTTATGGACTTAGACACTAATCCAACAATTACCACATCATGCATCAAGGAACTTAGACTTGGATGTATTTGGATTTGATTATTCAAGTACTTGATGCACATTCGAACATTTCACTTTACCATCTCTAAGATCTTTCAAGTACTTAGGGCATCTTCATTTCCTATGATCATTGTCATCAAATTAATTGTAACTTGCCTCGTTTAAATCATTGTTGCGTGAAATAGAAAATTTACCAAATTCTATTGCTTCATAATTGGAAGTTTCGGACAAAATCGTTCCGTTCCATTTAGGATTCGAACATTTCCTCTTCTTTGCAAGAAAATTTAGAAAGGCGATAACTAGAATCGGACAAGAAATCTAGTTTCATCCCATTTATCCTTAGTTTGGAGAGGTTTTAAGAATCCCATAAATGTCTTACACATACTATTCATATGAAATATCAAGTTGAAATCATCATAAGAACTAATGAAAGATTCAATCACAAGATCTATAGCAAGACTCTTGTCAAGGGTAACATTGACATTCTCAAGTTTGTCTATGTAACTCTCATTGAGCACATAAAAAACTCTTTTCTTCAATTGGAATTCAATTAGGAACATTTGACGATTTTCAAATCACTCTCGCCTTACCTTTTTGTAACACCCTCAAACTTATACATCTAATCTATAATAATTTTCATAATATTATATACAAATGCAGAAATCTACTCAAATTTAAAACCTTTACATCCTAGGTCAAATCAAGTGAGCATAATAAAATCTATATACTTATATAAGAAATATATATAAAAAATAGAATCCTACTATTAAATTTGAATCTTGTGTTCTTGTCTTCTCTTCCGGTATCACGACTGCTAATACATGATCCTGCAAAACATAAATCTCCACTACATCAGACACTAGGTCTGGTGATTCATTCTCATATCATTGATTAATCTTCTTTCTCTTAATTCATACTCATCCTCACATATACTTCTCCAACGCATCTCTTACTCTGTGTATTTCTTAACTCGGTCTCTAACTCTATTTGTTCTCTACTCTATCTCTAAACTCTACTCAGTCTCATCGTTACTCTATTTCTAATACTCTAATTCAATATCATATATACTCTGAATAATGTACACTATCATATCTCATCTCATCACGATCTTATATTCTCTAAAATATCTTATATGTAATCAATCTCGTATATTTAATTATATCTCCTCTCTTTCCAATCTCATATACTCGGTATATCTTATATCTACTCAGTTTCATATACTCTATGTAACTCTAGTTAATCTCATGTACTATATATAAAATTCATCTTGTATATCACATCTCAGCTGAGTCTCATATACCTATATATCTCATCTCATACTCAATCTCATATTATCATGTCTCAAACTCATTCCCAAAGAAAATAAAGCATATCTTAATCTCGTTCCCAAAGGGAGTATACTCATATCTCATTATCATTCTCGAAAGAAATATATTCGTATCTAATTCTCATTACCGAAGGAAATATGCTCATGTTCCTGAAGGAGTCTGAAGGAATATCAATCTTATTTTCCGGAATGGATATCAATCTCATTTTCCTAAAAGAAATATCAATCTCATTTTTCCCAAAGGCATATCAATCTCATTTTTACCGAAGGAATATCAATCTTAAGTTTTAATTATTGGCAAATTTAGTCCTTCGCTTTCTTTCATTTCAAAGTTTTGCCACCAAGGTTTTCATTATTGGCATATTTCGTCTTTATAGTTTTGTAATTTAAAAAAAGGTCCCTATGAGTTTTGTTTTTCGGAAACTATCTATATGTTTAAGATGTTTGTATGTTAGCAGGTTTGGCCCTGTGTAGAAAATAAATTAAATACATCGTTCCCCTATTTACAGAAAATGTCTTTTGTAGTTTCTTTTACAAAAATGGTCCATTTTTTTACAAAATTACGAAAATAGTCTATACCTAAAAGAAAATTTGTAGATTACACCCCTCACGCCACCGCAATATAAAAAAACAAGATTTTACTAAACAAGAAAACCCCCTTCTATCTTATTAATAAAGTGCTAACTTGCGCCCTGCAATTAAACTCAAGTTTAGCCTAGATCGATGCGACAACCTTACTAATAAAGATAGTATAAGTGCACTCAAGCAACCTATTTTACTAATATAATAAGAATTAAGCGCCTATAATTGAAATTAAGGGGAAGTTTTATAAGGTGGTGATAAGGCCAATGTTATTGTATGGATCCGAATGTTGGCCGATCAAGAAGGAACCCGATGTCGCGAAAATAAGAATGTTGCGGTGGGCATGTGGTTGAATATTGTTGGACATGATAATAAACACTACTATTAGATAACCGTTAGGGTGGTGTCGATCACCTAGAAATTGAGAGAATGAAGATTACGGTGGTTTGGGCATGTCTATAGGAGACAACCGACTGTTGCTATTAGGAAGGCGGAGTCGATTACATTCGAGGGTATAAGAAGGAGAGGACGTCTAAGAAGGAAGTGTGAAGATAACATGAGGCCAGACTTAAAGAAGTTAGCGCTTAACGATGACATGATCTCAGATAGGAAAGTATGGAGACTTAGAATCAGAGTAGCATAGTATTATTATCGTTTAGGGTTTAGCTTCCACCATTTTTGTGCATGTGGGCTAGTTTACGCATTATTTTTTTGTTTGTCTATTTTACTTCTAACATGTATATATAATATATGCTTCCACTACTTGCGTATTTAATTATGTTTTACTTGTCGACCCTGCCACTCTCAATGTCCAAATGTTTTTTTTTCTTGTTTGTAGATTGTTTTACTAAGCCTTATTCCACTTTATAATTCATCACGGACTCACACTTTCGATACAAATATTTTATGTAGGGATAACTTCAATTGGGATGCAATTATGAAAATTTTACTTTATTATATTTATTTGTTTTTGTTTTTCTATTATTTTTTTCGATGGTTTTCTACGTATGCAGTCTCTCAACTTATGTTGGGAGTTGCCGATCATGGTACATTCTCTTAGCCCATTGTATATGATTAAAGTAATATCGTTGTTTTTTTTAAGTTGTTTATATTAATAAAATATATTTTGGATATGTCTCATAATATCAAATAGTTCTTCTACATATAATTATATATCATTTCACATTTCATAGTTACATTATCAAGCTAGATAATAGAAAACTATTTTTATCGGCTAATAATAATATTTTAAATATAAAAATCTAAGCGAATAAATAAATTCCAAATTATGAAGCTTGAGCAACATGGGACCTCATGGTATCTTATCCTAACATCAAGAAATATATATAATTTTGAAATACGATCATAAAATTTTTATACAAGAATCAATAAATATGTATTATAATTTGTGTGATATGATATGGTAATATCATAATAACACAAGCCCACCAGCCACTCCATCAAACCTCTCACCAACTCGCATCTAGAAGCAATTATACCCTCCCTCTTTCTCCCTCTTTCTCTCTCCCATCTATCTATTTATCTATCTCTCTCAACTCCCCCTATATAGTCAAAAGCTTATAAAATCCCACATCAAGTACTCAAAACGCCCGGCTTCTCTTTAAACTCTCACAAAAATTGGGAAAACTATAAACAAGAAACAAATAAATATGGGAAGGTCTCCTTGTTGTGAAAAAGCACACACGAACAAAGGTGCATGGACCAAAGAAGAAGATGATCGTCTTATTGCCCACATCAAAACTCACGGCGAAGGTTGCTGGCGTTCCCTACCCAAAGCCGCCGGACTCCTCCGTTGTGGCAAAAGCTGCCGTCTCCGATGGATCAATTACCTCCGCCCTGATCTCAAGCGTGGCAACTTCACCGAAGAAGAAGATGAACTCATCATCAAACTCCATAGTCTCCTTGGCAACAAGTAGGTTTTCGAATTTTTTCCAAGATTTCTTAAAAGTTAGCAAATTTTCTTCGTGGATAAAAAATATACCCATATCGCGATTTTTTTTTTCTTTGCCAAAAAGTTGTGGGTTTCTTTTTCTAATTTACTTTTTTGGGATTAAATAGGTGGTCTTTGATCGCCGGAAGACTGCCGGGAAGGACGGATAATGAGATAAAGAATTACTGGAATACGCATATTAGAAGGAAACTTTTAAACCGTGGAATTGATCCGGCGACTCACCGGCTGATTACCGATAGCACTAACAACCATCACAATAATAACATTACCCCCACCGCCTCTGCCGCCACGCATAATGTTAATTCTTCGCCGGACGTCACCACCACGACCAACATATCGTTTGCAAGTGCTGCAACTACTTCTCCTAGTACAATCCATCATCTCATTAAAAACGAACAAGTAGAAGATGATATGAAACTCCGCTGTGATTCTCCCGACCGCCGGAATATCAAGAACACCTCGCTGGAAAATCAAGAAAGATGCCCAGATTTGAATCTGGAATTGAGAATTGGCCCACCTCGTCATCATCAGAACAACGCCATATCCTCCTCATCATCATACATACAGCAACATCATCATCAGTCCGTTGAGTATTATCAGCCATTAATGACCCGGAGGGAGAAATTCCGGTGGTTCCACCATATGTTTTGCATGCAGTTTGGGTATACAGAACAGCAAGGAATGCAGTTGTACCACAGGCCTCAATCTTACAGGTGGTAAGAGCACTGGTTATGATTTCTTAGGATTGAAGAATGGTGCCTTGGATTACAGAAGCTTGGAGATGAAATAGTTTCTCAATTGGGTATTTTTTAAATCCAATTATTTTGTATATTTTTCTAAACAATATATATTTTATATAATATGTAGTGATTTTCATTTTGTACAATTATAATATAATGATAGAATTTGTTGACAGGAAAGTAAATAGCAATTCTTCTCTCATATGGAATTACTAATTATCAAAATTTATAAGATCGTATTTATTTTTAATTTAAACAATCACTACGTAATAGTGATCAGGACAACTCCAATGCACCTTACAATTTTAGAGGTCATTTTTATTAGGATCAATCTTCAAAATCAAATCATTTTTCAGTTGGTTCATTTTTAACATCAAAAGGTTAAATAAAAAAAATGATCTACAAACAACTATTTTAAAGGTTGTGTTTTTGGTTAAACAAAGCCCCTAGTTATACAAAATTTAAAAGTTCAAATAGACATTAGATATTTAACGAAAGTTTGGTAATAATTAAATGTGGCAGATTATATTGTAATAATGTTCTTATTTTTCTTTTTAAAAATTAGGACGTTGTGATCATTGTTATGTTATGTTTGACGTATTAGCTACTAGTGAAAAAAATAGCTAATAACTGAAAAGATAGTTGTTAGCTAAAAAGTTAATTGTTAAATTATAAGTTAGTTAACAAAAAATGACGTTTAATAAAAAAAATAGATCATAAACTAGCTGGAAGATATAAAATAACATAAAAAATAAGTTCAAGGAATAAAAAATTTATATATATATATATATATATATATATATATATATATATATATTCTGAAAAACTAGTTTTAGTAGTTTTGTCAAAAGTTAGCTTATAAATTAGTTTTTTGGTTTATAAAATATAAAAATTTTAAAAAACTAAAAAAATAAGTTAACTTATCAGTTGTTGTGGTGTGCCAAACCATCTGTAATGAAATGATAAAGGGAAATCCCGATCCAAAAACATAATATTATTATATATAATAATAAACAATTGGTCGATGAATAATATATTTTTGGGTTTTAAACTTCGGTCATATTGGTTTCATATGTTGAGAGGTTTGGTTATTCGTTGTCCTTATAATTTACATTAAATATCCTTATACATTTTTTTTACGTTTAAGTTTTAAATTTTGGACATAATACTTTTGTATGTTGATATGTTTTTTTCCTGTACAGAAAATAAATTACAAAAAACTATCATTGTAATTTATAGAAAAGCTCATATTGGTTTACTCTTTGGTCCATAAGTTTAAAAAAATTAAAACAACAGTCCCCACCTGATAGAAAATTTACAGATTGTGTCCCCGCAAAACAGACATAAGTAGACTCCAGGCCTTGTCTCCTGCAAAACGGAAAAGAACAATTTCTAGTTATGTAAAATAAAGAAAATATTATGTGAGTTAACATATACAATTGAACGCAAATTAAAGAAAATGTTGGCAACCCTTCAACTAGTGTTTCTTAAATTCAGATAATGATAATATTATGATTTGTATATTACGAGAAAATTATCAAAATATCCAGTATTATCATTGTTGGATGTTGCGGTTGAGGAGAAAAGTTTTACTGTTTACATAGTGGCATGCCCCACAACTTAAGAAATGGACATTAAAATTATCTTATACAAATTCCAATCACATAAACAAACCAACTGAATTATCTCATAAACTTTTAGAAAGTTAGGTAGCAGGCAAACTCCGTGTTTTGATAATCAATAAAATTCATAGATAGTTTAAGGAAAGAGTAAATTCACTTCTTGTATTAATATTTCGATTCAATGCATATGTATCATGAAATCAAAATGGAATAATTCTTAAGAGTGCTTTTAGATTAATAAATAAAGATGAAATCAATGTTTCTAGAGAGTGTAGACATGTTCAATATCTCATGAGAGTCCTCAAATATGGAGTATCATTAGTATATACTTATATTAGCCGAAATATAGAAAAGATTAATGAAAGTAACAATTTTTGGCAATTCAATAGCCGTTTTCTAAAATAACCGTCAAACAGTTCAACTGTTAAAAACTAATCACACAAGTTGCTAGAAGCAAGAAGCAATACAACTGACCAAGGTATCATGGAGTTGTTTGGCAGCTTAGGTTGGCAGCTTGAGTTATCATTGTTTTTGTCCCACTGTGGCTATCCAACATTGAGTTGTTTGGTAACTTGGGTTGGCAGCTCGAGCTGCCCTTATCCAAACCCAGTAAACTCCAATTTCATTTATTTAGATCAAGTTTTACCAAACTCTTTAAACCCCATAAGGGAGCTAACCCCATCCCTACCTTCTGATTAGTCGGTGGGACCACCGCTAGGGACTCTGTCCTTAAACCCTATAAGGAGGCTCAACTCTTTTGACCTCTGTCATTGGTTGTGTTTGAAATAAAACTTATTTTATACAAGTGTATCTATTGAACAAGTCAACTCATATTTGAGTATAGTTTGATTTCATTTTTACATTATGTTAATTGCAATTACATTAAATGGATGGTAGATAGTAGATACGAAAATTAAAAATAAATGTGTTGTTTTGTTGATGAGTCTTCATCAACTTATGTTTTATCCAAATATTGTCGAAACTCAAATAGATATGTGTATTCATTAAGTGATAAATTGTACGTTCTTGAAACGTTATATCAATCTACTAAACATTTAAGAAATGTAAACATTATATTTTCGAATTTAGGTCCGAGTGAGAAAGAAAGATACGGGTTAGTCAATACATGTAAATATCAAAATGAAAATAGTTTGGTGCACATTTTGTCCCATTATGTGAAAAAAGTTTACATATGTCAGAGATATGCTTTTTGAAAGAGTTTTGGGTCGTTGCAGAATGTTGCTTTGGATAGATAGATGGATAACAATCAATACAATAAAATATAACGTTCATTTTATGTTTCAAACCATTTTTTTTCATATTACTTGAATTTTTTAGAGTTAATATGTGGTATGGACTCTGATTACCTTTGTGCTTTGACTCGTCTTTGCGATACGATTCCGGGATTCGACTGTAGCTGTTTCACTAATAAGGACACCCCCCTCCCCCCCTAAATCCCAAAAAGCATTGACGTGTGCCCTTTTTAGCAAAATCGTCAAAGATATGGAAGTCGACTTCGACATGACTGTTAGACAGAAAGCAGTTTTTGAGTGTCTTCGTGCACCTCATGCTCGGGATTTTCTGCTAACTATACCTATTGATGGCCTCGGCCAGCATATGTCTCCTGTGGAGTACCGAACTATCATTCATTACCGTCTCATGATTCCTCTATTCCCAATTGACGAGATATGTCATGTTTGCCTCAAGACATGTTTGGACACTTTTGGGGAACATGCGGTTCATGGTAGAGAGTTCCCTGGTTTCAAGTACCGACATGATATGGTTAGGGATGTTCTATTTGATGCTTTTTGGCGTGCTGATATTTCCATGAAGAAAGAAGCGTCAGTGAACTTTTTGACGAATCCGCAGGATGGAAGATCCACACTCAGGCCGGCTGACATTTTGGTCTTTGGATGGGTAAGAGGGAAGCACGCTTGTATGGATCTTACTGGGGTCTCTCCTCTCGTCGGTTTGAGGAGCGGGGGTTTCACAGCAGGGCATGCTGCTTTGAAAGCCGTTGCGTGCAAAGTAGCAAAGCACGAGAATGCATGTATAGAAAATCAATATGTGCTTGTACCTTTTGCATTTGATATATTTGGTTTTCTCGCACCAAAGGCGGTGGAGCTCCTCAACATAGTCCAACGGATCATGCATTCTAATTTTATATCTCCTAGATCCGCAGATGTTGTTTTTAAAATAATTAGTTTTGTCATCCAGAAAGGGCTAGCGGCGGAGGTTGTTGACCGTTTGCCTTCCGTCGATATGTATTGAACTATATTCGAATCTAACATTTCTTATTACCCATATATATATATATATATATATATATATATATATATATATATATATATATGAATCCAATTTTCTTTCATATTATTTGACTACGAATATTCATGAATTGTGCAGAATAAAATTATATTGTTAACTTTGGAAAATACATATTAAAAATAATTATATTATTAATATTAACTATGAAATATAATGATTTTGAATTTGGCCTTGTAATTATAAGTATATATAATTGATTAATGAGAAGGCCCCAATGAGAATTTTACCAAATAACTTTTAGCAAAAAAAACATGGTATCATTTGCAAACAATAAGTGAGACAATACAACTTATAAATTCGGCAACCTGAGCACCGCAAAATACAACGGCTAATGTCACTGTAGCCCAACCAACTATCACGTGTTGTTTTAAATGGTTCCTCCTGTAATATTTTTTAGGGGTCTACCAATAAATCCCAACCCAGTCAGCATGATACAGTGTCATGTCATTAAATAAAATTTGTCAACTCATATGCCACGTATCCATCTCCCACCTCTGTCACAATCCATCTTACACCACTACCATTGTCTATCTTCTACAACCACCGTCACCATCTATATTTCACCACCACATCCGACGGCACATAACATGCAACTCCTTCACACACATACATGAATATATATTCTCCACTCTTTTTTTCTCCTATCATGTTTTCTCTCTTTATGTGTTTCTAGAATACACACACAAACACACATACACACATAACAACATCAAAGATCCGAGTACTTGATTTTTTCTATGTTTTACACATTAACAGACAAACACACATCATAAACATTCAATTTCTTCAAAGTATCAATTTTTTCTGTGTTTTCCCGGATTTTCATTTGTTTTTTTGGGTTTTAAAAATGATTTTGGTTTCAAGAATTCAAGAAATTGTTTGTGTATATGTGTTCAAGAATTGAAGAAATTGTGTTCTTGGTCTGAAACAAGCACAAACCCAGGACTTAAGGTATGAAATCATGTTTATGGTGAAGGAAATCTTAATATCTATCATTTTCGTTCTTGAATTTGGTTATTGAGCTCCAAAAACGACCACTGGTGAGAAATACCTAGAAGGTCCGATTTGGTTCAGATCTGCCACGGTTCGTTTTCTTGACAAACAGATCTGGAACGATTGTTCGTGTTTTTGAATAACATATTTGGAAACAATATTTTCAAGTACGCATTTGAAGGACTGATTTGCAAAACAAAGATGAAGAATGAGTTCTAAGCACTTGGTATGATT